TCAGTAAGGGAGAGGAAAACAGGCTTACGAGGAAAAGATAGGAGATTTCAGCAGAGAAATGAAAAATCTAGAATTCTACCTGAAGAAGCTAGCGTAGGAAGAGCAAAATAAACCCAAAGTAAGTAAAAGGAAGGAAATAATACAGATAAGAGCAGAAACCAATGAAACGGAAAGCACACAATGGAGAAAATTAACAACATCAACAGCTGGTTCTCTGAAAAGATGAACGCAATGGTGGCTCTGTCAACAGAGGGCGCTGCAGGGACCGTGAGGCTGGATAGAGGAAAGGGCTTCTCTCCCAGGGTCAGTGGGCCTTTTTCCCTCCTCCTGCCGCACTGCTGCCTCCAGGGCACAGGAGACCCAGAGGGGCTCGCCCTCAGCAAGGTCCCCTGCCATCAGCAGGCAGCTTCCTGTGCACCAGCTCGGACCTCGGCACTCCAGGGCTCTGCCACGCCGTGGGCCACAGCACACCCTCCTCCACTGAGGTGAATCCCAGCCTTGCAGGGTGGGGAGGACTCTTCCCAGTCTGATCCTTCTCAGGGTACTTTCTCCCAGCCCTAAAGGCAGTAGCTGTGCATCCTACAGTGGCTATTTCTGCATTCATCAGTCTTCTTGCACCCACTAGCAGGCAACCAGCTCTTACTAGTTAACGATTACATACATTAAATTTTCCTGTTCAGATGATTGGTGTGGTTTCTGTCTCTTGACTGGACCACGACTGAAAGAGATTTGTCAGGAGTAGGGTTCATCTTCCATCCTCTTGTTCACATGTCTTACAAAGGCATCTGCAGTACTTGCTAATTCCTGAGCATCAGATCCAAACAGCATAATGTTATTGGGGTAGACCAATATGATGTTTTAATGGAACATCAAGATGATCAAAATCTCTGCAAACTAATATTACAGCAGAAGGCAGAACCAACACAGCCCTGAGGCAAGGCTGCGCAGGTGTACTGTTGGCCCTGCCAGGTAAAAGCAAACTGCTTCTGGTGGTCCTTGCAAATTGGTAAGAAGAAAAAGCATTAGCTACATCAACAGCTACATACCAAGGCCAGGGATTCTGTGGCATAAAAATACAACATTTGCATAAAGAAACTACATCCAGGACTGAATGTGTGATCAGTGTAACCACCCAATTGAGTTTATGAAAGTACACAGTTATTTTCCAAAATTCATCTGAACTTCCTACTTTTTCTAAGCAAATTAAGTGAGGATATGCTAGCTGGCAGCACTCTTGCATTTTCAAGTCTTTGATGGTGGCACTAATTCCTGCAAATTCCTCAAGGATGCAGCATTGCTTCTGGTTTTCTATCTCGGTAGGGAGGGAAGGTTCTGGGGACTTCTACTTAGCCTTTCCTACCATAATGGCCTCCAACCCGTGGAATGGAGAACTTGGGGATTCTGCCAGTTGTCAAGTATGTCTATCCAATTATATATTCAGGGATCAAAAGATGAAACTGACAGATCTTGACTTCAAAGACTAGTTAACACGATTTATCTATAAAAATGAAAGGGGAGGGCATCTGGGCCGAGCAAATGCACAGAGGCAGTAAAACACAGGATAGCTATAAGAAGCGAGCTGGAGCACAGGACATTTGAAAGGACGGAACCGAAAAAAGTTGAAAATCTCTCTTAATCTCAGGCCACAGAGGACTCACAGTAGGAGGCTAAATACTATTATCTTTAGTTGGTAGCCAGTGGGGAAATACAGAGACTCTTCAGCAGGGGAATGAAACGATCAAAGTCATACTAATCTTTCAAAAGCACAAGTAAGTGAAATGTATTAGGGAGGACTGGTTTGGAAGGCTAATGACACTGACACATGAAACAGTGAACGCATTGGGGTAGGAGCAGAGAAAAGTAGGTGGGTGAATGTGAAAAATATTACAGAGTTTAAAAAAAAAAAAAGATAAGACTTGGCAACCGACAGGCGTGAAGCACAAGAGAGAATCAAAGACGACCCCTTTTGAGTATGGATAACTGGGAGGATGGCAGTATTCGTAAAAGAACCAGGACACAGGAACCGAAACAAAGATGCTGTCATTCTGAATATATTAAGTTGTTACTACGACTTGTATAACTTATGGCAATTTCTTTGCTTTACTTCAAACAGTTTTGTTTTTAGTTAGAAACACAGAAAATAATAAGATATGGCATTTTTCCAGGAAAATTTTAACCTAAAAATAGGGAACAAAGGCAGGAAAGACAAGAGATTACTTAAAAACAATAAATGGTCTCCAATCTAATACAGATTGCTCAGCTGGCAACAGTTTCCAGAGTATGCCAATAACACATACTTGGAAAGATCTGATCTTTAATATGTTATTTTTGTTCTATAGATATTTATGGGAAAGCCTATATTTTTAAGGCAATATAGTGTAGTGGCTGAAAAGGTGGACTCTGAGGCCAGAGTGCCTGAGCTCAAATTTCAGCTCTGCCATTTGCTGCCTGTGTGCCTGTGGGCACGTTACTCAACCTCTCTGTGTTTTGGTTTCCTCATAAGTAAAATAGGAATAAAAAGAGTACCTTTACCTCAGAGGGTTGTTTTGAAGACTGGATGAATTAAATGAGTTAATACATGGCCCTTAGTGTTCCATGTGTGTTTAGTGTTATCTAAACAAGTAAGAATCCACATATTATATTCACAAGAGAAATTAAGCTTTCTTCATTCTATGCATGACAACACTGGAGAGCTCAGAAATTAGTAAACTAATGATACAGGAATTGTATTTGGAAGTGCTTTTAAAGAGCAAGGAAGGTGCAATACTCATGTTTAACAATTATGAACTGAAAGCAAGTAATACACTTATATCTAAAGCTTATCAACTATACCGGGCCGGCCCTGTGGCTTAGTGGTTAACTGTGCGTGCTCTGCTACTGGTGGCCCGGGTTCGGATCCCGGGCGCGCACCGATGCACCACCTCTCTGGCCATGCTGAGGCCACGTCCCAATACAGCAACTAGAAGGATGTGCAACTATGACATACAACTATCTACTGGGGCTTTGGGGAAAAAAAGGAGGAGGATTGGCAATAGATGTTAGCTCAGAGCCAGTCTTCCTCAGCAAAAAGAGGAGGATTAGCATGGATGTTAGCTCAGGGCTGATCTTCCTCACAAAAAAAAAATAAAAATAAAAATAAAGCTTATCAACTATAAATATGAAACGACCTGATGGAAATACAAAGGTTTGACAATTTATAGCATATCCAGGGCAGACTGAGAAACGTTACAGCCAGATTTAAGTCCTGTACAACCAAAACAGGGACAGAAAATGGTAAAATCATACGGAGCCTTGATGGCAGCAAGCAAGTTACAGCTCTCCACCTCACACTGTCTAAACAGTAATTCAGTCATTATGAAAAAGGCTTATATCAATATTTTATCAGAAACCAAACACACTGATCACTGTTTGTTAATGAAGTTGGGCAGACGGTCTCGACATTCATTTGGGCAGGAAATTAATATACTACTTCATACCGTGGACAGTCAGCCCTCATAGTAATATATTGAGGAAGAGAAATGTAGAAGTCTTTGAAATTCTGCCCCCTGCCCCCACCATAGCAAACATTCTCTAAATTGCTCTCACACTTTGTCTAATGAATTTTCCTAAGATAGTCTACCCATGTAATTGAAGGAAAAAGAAGGGCTATGCAAATATTCTAAATTTAAAATACACTGCAAGTTAGGTAACATTTACACGTATTTCTAAAATCTTGGTAACTGCTCATTGTTTGCCCTACTCTAAAGTAATATGAAATTAAACATTGTACTATGGCACCCCCTTCTGGTAACATGATTGAAATACTACCACAAGATTAATTATAGCATGGCAGTTTCCCTGTAGGATTTGAATAGATTACTGCAATAAAAATACTGTTTAGGGGCCGGCCCGGTGGCATAGCGGTTAAGTTCACAAGTTCCAATTCAGCGGCCCGGGGTTCGCCAGTTCGGATCCTGGGCGTGGACCTATTTACTGCTCATCAAGCCAAGTTGAGGCAGCGTCCCACATAAAGAGCTACAACCCTACAACCATGATACACAACTATGTACTGGGGCTTTGGGGAGAAAAAAGAAAAAGAGGAAGATTGGCAACAGATGGTAGCACAGGGTCAATCTTCCTAAAAAAAAAAAAAAAAAGAACTTGAGCTTTAAAAAAAATACTGTTTAGTGGTTCAACAATAAAACGTGTTAAGAGGAGGGAAGACAGGGAGGTTAGAAGTATGCTGCCTACTCCACAGGACATATATGGCTTCCTGTCAGATGTTTTACAAATATCTGACACCACACTCAACCCATTTAATTAGCATCTTATTGAGTGTCTAATACAAGCCAGGCACAATGCTAGAAGCTGAGATCCAAAGTTGACCAAGCTGGACCTTGCCCTGAAGGAGATTATGATTAACAATTAGAATCCAAAAGGGAAAGACATACTGATGTTATGGGACCACAGACTGAGGAACCTAAATCAGACTGGGAGACAGGAGAAGGCTTTCTCTAGGTGTGATAATAAGCAGAGTTTTGGAAGAGGCCAAATTAACTGGATAAACATGGGAAGGGAAATTTTAGGCAAAAGGAATAGCACAAAAGCACAGAGCTGAGATAATCATAACATGTTTTGGAAGAAAAAAGTCGCTCAGTGGGGCTCAAGTGAAGCATCTAGGTTGAAGTGTAGCAGAAAGAGTAGACAAAGGCCATATCACAAAAGGCCGTATATCTAAGTTAAGGAGTTGAACTTTCTCCCAAAAGCCAAAGGTAGCCAATGAATAATTTTAAGCAACTAAGGGTCAAGGTCTGATCTACGTTTTAGAAACATTTTTCTATGGCTTTAAGTTACCAATACTTCTGAAGCACTGAGTAAATATCGACTATGCATTAGCCATACCTCCTAAATAGATGACATAATTCAATGAAATAATTTGAAAACATAACTAAACAAAGCTAAAACAAGACTCTGAAAGCCTAAAGAAAAAGTTGCAGACACTACATGAAACCATTCAGTACCTTTTAAACTCATCATGGTAGAATTCAGACTTGCAAGTCACCATCTCACCACCCTGGATGTCCTCGCGACTTCGGACTCCCCCAAACACGTAGAGCTCCATGGCAACTCCACAGGCGACAGCGCCGAACCTGCAAGTCCACACAGAGCAGAGTAGGTACCGGGCTTACAACTCCTGACCCAATTCCCCAATTCCTCTTCCACTTTGAGCTCTGCAGCATCCAGTGTTTCATGAATATGTGGGTCTTCCTTTCTCAGAAAACGGATTATTCATTTAGTTTTATATAAACCCAATGCTAAGTCAAATAAAAGATTAGTTTGAAAGAAAGGAAGGGGAAAGCCAGGTTCAGGGGACTCTGCAAAGCCCACACCCACGTTCCTTCACCTTCTCTCTTTCAGGGGGCAAATAGCAGTCCATTGCTGGGTCCTTGGGTCGTAACATTCCACAGATTCAAAAAGTTTTCCATATGATCCTCCACCCATGGCATAGATTTTCTTTTTCATAGCTGCGTAGCAGCCAATCTGAAAGGAGAAAGCAACAGTGGGGGAGGCAACATTTATTATTAACATTAGACAAATAAATATTAACTTGTCTAGAGAGCACTGTGAGATATCTGCAAAAGGATCTGACTTCTAACGGTAGAACTACGGTGCTTTCCAATATTACAACACAGGATTTTAACAACGAGAAGAGCAAGGTAACATACGTATTGTTACTCCTCAGAAAAGGATTAACTCCATCTAATACCATTTCACTAAGTGAGAGAAATAAAAAAACCTTATTATTTTTTCTTTTGCTGAGGAAGATTAGCCCTGAGCTAACATGTGTGCTAATCTTTCTCTATTTTGTACATGGTTCCCTGCCACAGTACGGCTGATGAATGGTGTAGGTCTGTGCCTGGATCCGAACCCAGGAACCTGGGCCGCCGAAGTGGAGTGCGCTGAATTTAACCACTATGCCATGCGGCTGGCCCCAATAAACCCTAATTTTTAAAGGAGCTTTCCAGTCTCTCCATTCTTTCACCCCTATTTGAAGATTCCAAGATGTTGATTCCATGGAGCAAGATGTCACTCAATTCCTGCCCCAAATACTTGAGTTGAAAGGGCACAGACAGTGAGGAACCTACTAGGAGTAAAGGTGTAACATACCCACAGCACTGGACAAAGCGTCGGCTTCGTGATGACCCCCCTGTCGATATCAGGGACATAAACAAAGATAGGCTATGCTCTACACAGCCAACGTGAGCCATCTGCTTTCACTCTACTCACTAAGCAATGTAGTTCTGTGGATTAACATTTCTCCCCAATCCTGTGTGATGACTAAGAAAATAGGTTTGGAAGACCTGGTGCTTCCTAGGTTGGTGCACCCACAGAGCATTTACCAAGTGTGGGCCTTGGACACAGCGGGCTGCACAGAGCCCACTGTCAGGTTAAACTCTCACACATACTCCACTGCCTGTCTTGGTGTGAGGTAGGCAGGGAAGGCAAGCTACTGACAGAGAAAGAATTCTACAACGTTAATTCTTTTAACACTATCAGTTGTATTAAAAGGCATATGTAGGAAATGAAGAAACATTAACTTTAAAATCCAATTTGTAATCACAAGATATAGTTCTCACCTTTCTAACCATGGTCAAATCAGGTTGCTTTGTCCAGGTTTTAGAATAAATATCATAACACTCCATGGAAATTAGCTCTTTCTCACCATCCTCTCCTCCTAAAATGTATAGCATTCCATCTATCTCCACAATTCCAAAGTTATGCCTTGCCTGAAAAGACATCAAAGATCTTTATATACAAAAGGCCAACTACCACATTGAAAGCTGATATTTACACATTTAATAAAAATTACAGATATTATACTCCAGAGTTCCAGCAAAGAAGTGCCAGGCCCAAAACCCACTCTCCCAAAATCTCTCAATTCCATAGCAGTTCACTCTTGTGAACTGTCTTCTCTGTCACAAAAGATAGAGAACCCAAGTCCAGGAAGTTCTTAGAACAAGGGAATTACATGCATGGTGAATTCACTGGCAGAATTGTTACTTTTTACTCAAATAGCTCACAAGAAAAATAACTATCACTATTTGGTTCAATAAAATTATCTGTGGTTAGCAACGGGCTATAATTAAGAGTTTTCAAGTTGATGTGTGAAAGATAAGAACCACAGCGACAGGACTGCTGTGGCTGAAGAGGCAGTGGGGAGGACAGGTTCATGCTAAGGCCACCAGGAATGACAGAAGCCTGAGGTATTTCACATTCATTTGTCGACAAATACTTCCTTAGTACCACCTACGTGCCCAGCACTATTCTAGCGCTGAAGACAGAGTCCTGAACAAACAGACAAAAAAATTCCCGCACTGTCAAAGAGTTTGGGTGAACAATTGAAAAACACCTACTGTGTGAGAAGGTCCTACATGGAATGAAGAGAAAGAAAGCTGGGGAGGAGACAGAAGAGCTGAGGGGCCAGCGGGAAGGCCTCACTGACGTGGAAAAACACTGAAGAAGCAAGGAGCAAGCCACAGGGTATCTGCCAAAGGCCTCAAGGCAAGAGCATTCCTAGAAGGTTTGAGAAACTTCGAGGAGGTCGGATTGAGCAAGGGGAAGGCAAAGAGGAGGGCTGGGAGGGTTGCTATTTCTTTTCTTATACTCAAATGCAAAACACAGAAAAATGCTACAGGGAAAAAAGAAACACATCATATAAATAAAACAAGTATATTTTACCTCATTCATTGGTGGCAATGCTGTCCATGTATTTGCATCTGGGTCATACTTTTCTCCTGAGCTCAGGGTCTGCTTATTTTCATCTTGGCCCCCAAATACAAACAAAAATCCTTCTGCAAAAATCAAAGCAGACACACAAGAAAGTTGAAACTTAAGTCTTCAACATTCATCTCCTGTCGAATATAAATGCCATAGTTATAGAGACAGTATGTGGAGAAACCTTCTCTGACAACAATGGATTCGAGATCTTTATCACATTTCATTTGCTCCCTGGTGACAGCCAACTTTCTGAGTCATTTTGAGCATTTTACTTCACTCAGTACCTTTGAGAGGATTCCCACTACCCTACAGTGTAAAAGGAAGACGGACACGACCTACTCAGTCACCAAGCAACTCTGGGTTATCTCAGTTCACCTACTCTGTTCCCCAGCCTCTGGGATTCTTGCACAACTTCTGAACCACAGCCCACATCTGTTCACTCAAGACTCCAGGAACACTCAGACTCGGGTGTGCTTTATATTCAAAACAGGATCTAAGAGTAATTGTTGAACTTCCTATTTCAGGTAATGGTGGATTAGGTTATTCTACCAACTTTTGTGCAAAACATAGCTAAACTGCTGGATAAAATATTTTTAAAATAATCTTCTTAAAAGAAAAGCCAACAAGACAATATGGCAAAACTGAAGGGAAAAGCGGGACCTAGAGAGATTACCACACGTGGAAACCATTTTGCTTTGAGGACGTTTACCAATCTGGGAAAATTTCAACCTTTCTTGTAATGGCTTTGAGGGGATGAAAAAGACAGAAATATAAATCCCAGGCGCAAATAAATGTGGCTTCTGGCAGGAGAGCCTCTCCAAAGTTCTAACCCTCCGAATGAAGGCCAACCAGAACTAGAAACCAGATTTAAATCTCCTTGCTCGTCTAGGAAATCTCAAGATTTGAATTTGATTTACAGTAATTCCAAATCAGTAGTGTTTTCAGGCAACTGGCAGAAACAAATGCAAAACTTCCATGGAAGAAAGTACCTTTATCTAAGCTTTAGATTCTAACATTCTAAGATTTTGAAGCAGCAAATTATTCCTACAAATAATTTTTAACAAAATGATCAGCACCCAGTGAAAGATACTCAGGTATACAAAGAAACTAGACTCTGGGAAGAAGAATCAGCAGAAGCAGACAGTAGGAAGTAGTCTTGCAAAGACTTCAAATTTCAAATATTGGAATAATCAGAGAGACGATAAAACAATGCCTACTATGTTTAAAAAATAAAAGACAAATTTGAAGATAACTCTTGGAAACAGAGGACTATAGAAGTGACATAGCAGATCTGAAAAAGATTTAAAGAGAATTCCCAGAAATTTAAAAAAACACAGATAAAATAAAAAATTCAACAGATGGACTTAATGGCAGATCCATCACAGTTAAAGAGAGAATTCACTAAATGGAAAACAAATCAAAAGAAATCATAAAGTGGCAACATGGAGAGGCAAAAAGATGGAAAAACAAAACCAAACAAAAAGAAGTTAGGAGGCAGAGGATGGAGTAAAAGGTCTAGCCATATTTAATCCAACTTCCAAAACAGAGAGAGAGAGCGAGCAGAGGCAATATCTGAAGACATAATAAATAAAAATTTTCCAGAACAGATGAAAGGCCAAGCCACAGAATCAAGATGCCCAACAATCCCGAAATATGGTAAAATTTCAAATAAAATGTACACCTAAGCACAGTACAGTGCAATGGCAGAAAAATAAAGAAAATTTTTTTTTTAATTTTATTTATTTATTTATTTTTTCCCCAAAGCCCCAGTAGATAGTTGTATGTCATAGCTGCACATCCTTCTAGTTGCTGTATGTGGGACGTGGCCTCAGCATGGCCGGAGAAGTGGTGCGTCGGTGCACGCCCAGGATCCGAACCCGGGCCGCCAGCAGCGGAGCGTGAGCACTTAACCGCTAAGCCACGGGGCCGGCCCAGAAAGAAAATCTTAAATACAGCCCAGAGAAAAGCCAGATTTCTAGACTGACAGCTGACTTAACAACAATGAAAGCCAGACGAAAAGACATTGTCAATGTGCTAAAAAATAATAGATACCAACCTAAAATTCTACACCCAGCAAAAATAGCCTTTAAGAATGCAGGCAAAATGATGACATTTTCAGACAAACAAATCTAAGAGTTTGCTACCAGCAGACCCATATTAAAGGAAATTCAAAAGGATAAACTCCAGAGAGAAGGAAAATTATCCTAGACAGAAGGTCTGAGGAGTAAAAAGGAAGAAAAAGCAAAGAAAGTGGTACATACATAGGTAAAACTAAACTAATACTATATATGATACACATATAAAACATAGATTGATAAAACTTATGTGTATATGTAAATATTTATAAATAATCATGTATTTTAATACTGTAAGACTGTGGAACATGAAAATAGAGTATAAATGTATGATTAATGTCAGGCTTTGATAACTTCAGATAAGCTATGGTTCCTAGGTAACCTTCAAAGAAATAGAGACAAAAATATAACTTTTTTTTTTTTTAAAAAATTTTATTTATTTATTTATTTTCCCCCCAAAGCCCCAGTAGATAGTTGTATGTCATAGCTGCACATCCTTCTAGTTGCTGTATGTGGGACGCGGCCTCAGCATGGCCGGAGAAGTGGTGCGTCGGTGCGCACCCGGGATCCAAACCCGGGCCGCCAGCAGCGGAGCACGCGCACTTAACCGCCAAGCCACAGGGCCGGCCCAAAAATATAACTTCTAAACTGGTAGAGACGGAAAAAATTCAATGACAAAAAAAGTCAATAAAAAAAAAAGGCAAGGGCCCGCCCGGTGGCCCAGTGGTTGTGTGCGCACTCTGCTTTGGCATCCTGGGGTTCACAGGTTCGGATCCTGGGCACGCACTGATGCACCACTTGTCAAGCCATGCTGTGGTGGCATCCCATATAAAATAGAGGAAGATGGGCACAGATGTTAGCCCAGGGCCAATCTTCCTCGGCAAAAAGAGGAGGATTGGCATAAGATGTTAGCTCAGGGCTGATCTTCCTCAACAACAACAAAAAAAAAGGCAAGAAAAGAAGAAACACAGAACAGCCTGGACAAACAGGAACTACTCAACCATTTTACAACTTCAGTCAATACAATTGGACACAATTCCTCTCTCATTGTTTAATGTTTCTGAAATGCCAACTCCTCTAGGAAATCTTTGAAAATTATGGCTATAGGAGGCTTTGTCGTAGGTGTGCATGTGTGAAAATTATGAATAAGTGTACACAACACGTATGGGTGGAAAACTTAATGAAGCTAATTCTGAGAAGATAGAACGGGGAAATGAGACCCACATCTTGTTGGCTACACCACTCCATCCAGCTGTTTATTATCGACAATAACTTCAATAATCTTGGAATCCATAAAATGGTTCCGTTTCTACACTATAGTATAGCTTTAGCAATTTCTATAATATGGTATGGGATAGTATGGTATGGGATAGTGTGGCACAGCTTTAAAGACTTTTAAGGTAATGTTAGTGGGCCAGCAGACTATTAAATAAGAGGGATTCCAGGAGGCTGCTGACAATAACTAGAATTAAGTGAAATAGTACTTGTAGGGTGAATCCAGAAAGGCAGGTCCAAGGTGAAAAGAAAGACAGCAAACAGTGGTAAGGCAGCAAGTACAACCTTTTCTTTCATCTCCTTGAGTGAGAGTTTTTAACAACGTGGAGCTATTTTCAAACTTGCGAAGGTCAAGTAAAACATACTTTCTCTAGTAAAATAACTTTAAGCCATTGCTAATGTAAGTAATATTTTGTAAAGTCTCATACAAAATGCCTGCTTTGACATAACATTTTCATTTTTTATATAGTTGCATATTGTAATTCTAAACTGCATGAATTTCAAAGATGGGAATATCATGGCTCAAAGAAATTCTGTGTTCCAGTTATGGTCACACAGCTAATTGGTGCTAAGAGTCACTGAATTTTGCTCTTCCATCAGTTGTCATCAAGTACAATGCTCCTCTACTAAAGTCTTAAAAAGAGGTATGTATTAAAGATTTGGGAACAATAAGTACTGACAGAAGACACTCTTCTCCTCACCCTGGTCTTGAAAGCTAGAGCTACACTGAAAATGTCATCACAGAGAGAGAAAAAAATTGTATCTTTAAAAGGTTCTGAGTCATTCTGTACAACCCTAAAATTACACATTACTTGATCTTGTGTTTAAGTAAAATTTACCACAGAATGGTACCTGCTGAGAGCACTCCGTGGTTAATTCTTGGCATGCTTAAAGGGGCCAGTTCAATCCAAAGCTGCCTATTAGGGTCATAAAGAGGGCACATACATCGCATCGCTGCTGTTGGTTTCCGTGAACTAAGGAAATAAATAATTGATTAGCAGTTAATGTGTTTTATATAGTTCTGCTTATAATAACTATGACTAGTTTTATTGCTCTAAGGAATGTTTAAAACATTTTAAAAATCTATTGCTATCATGCTTAGATACTGAAAAATATTATGAATTCTAGTTTACATGGGAATATCCCTTCCCATATACCACTTTCCCAACAACTCACAGCCCTACTTACACTCTTTCTTCTCCACCAACAGTCACGATGCATTCTGAGTAACCCCGGGGTTTGAAATTCGCCAGCATCGCCTCCCCCTGCTGTGGCTGGCTGAGTGGAATGTTGCTGCACTCTTTGACAATTTCTCGTACTAAAGGTTCATTCAGCATCTGTTCCCGTAAGTAGCTGGAGTCTAACCCTGAAACCCATAGTGCCGACATGACATCCTTCATGTGGACCTGCAGAAGAGGGCAGAAAGGATGGGGAGAAAAATCAAGAATGCAACACATAGTTTTTAGAATATACATTTTCCAACTTATGGAAAACTTACAAGTTGTAAGTGCCAAGTGCAGCTTGAAAACGCTCTGCTGGCCCTTTTCCTGTCTACTTCCCAGAGCCTTGGTAAATAAAAGTTTCATTTAAAAAATCATCAGTTCAGATTTATATCTGAAGTATCACTGCAAAGTTTCGAGCAGCTTTCTTTACACCCTAAAGGGTTCCGATAGCAGTAGGCAAACTCAGAACTCTGCTATGACTGCTTTATTTCACGTGCTTGGATGTGCTGTGAGTTAAATCACATTTATAGAAACACTATATACAGTCATACTTTGATACAATATGGTAAACTAGATAATGAAAATGTATCAACATTAATATTACAAGAAAAATACAGAAAAGCCAAAGTTCAAAAAATCCTCTGAGTACTATATAATCATTTCTTCAGTAATTGTTGTTAAAAAATGTCTGGCACACACAATATGAATTATATACTTTTCATGCTCAATCATTAAATTTGAACTGACTACAGCCCTGAACGTACCTAAGGGGAAACTCTATAGTGACTAGTTTTTCTTTGTTTTGAAATAGTCATTTTAAAGTATACTCTTCCATATCCCAAGTAATAAAAGCCAACAGTCTTTATAGCACAAAGTTCAGTTTAACCAAAGGATGAAGAACTGCCTCTTGTGTCCCCAGCAACCTCACCACTTTAAGGAGAAAGTAAGGGAGAAGCTACTGATGGAGGTCTCGGCGAGTGGCGACCAACTGGAAACTCTGCTCTCTCCTTTCCTGATTTACCCAACGAACGCGGACAACAGAACACTAACTGGGGTAACCAGGCTGAGACTACAAGCATAGTTTCTAAGTGGATGTACTCACAGGGGTACAGAATTTTAAAAATTACAAAGTAATCACTAAAACCTAAGTCAAAAGTTATCAAGAACAATGAACAATGCAATTATACATTTTGAAAACTACTCTAAAACCTAATATATTTCTAATTTTGAATACAGTAATTGAAACTAGTCTCTAATTTATAAATATTGGACTTAAAGCCCTGTGATTTTTCTCCCTCCCCTAATGTATTAACAGTTTCGCTCTACAGATCAATATTCTCTAAGACCCTTCCTTCCCAGGCTGTCACTCCCAGAACCTTCCCACCTGGAGCCGCATTGCCACAAAACTCCAGAGCGCTCTCCTACTTTCTCCCTGAGCGGCATCCATCACTTCAGGGAGAGCCCACACCGCAGAAGCTCCTGAGGCCCACAGCCCTCACCCTCGGCCCCCCTCACCCTGACGTCTGCAGCAGACTCCCTGTAGGAGTTAGCCCTGAGGGGTAGGAGGGATGGATGCTGAAAGTGAGAGTAGGGACTCCGCATTTCTATCATCTCCAGCTTAAGCCTGAAATGCATTTTCCCATTAAAAACAAGGTACAAAGGATATTATGTTTCTTACAAATATTAATATTTTCTTTGCTATGTTATGAGTTACATGGCCTTTTGTAGACTAGTCTGACAAACCAACTGCTTTAATGATCCTATGGAGGGATGTTTTACAGATATCTTTTAGGCCACAACTTTGTAAGTCTTTTAGGTTGAAGGAGAAAGATAAAACATCCATAATTTGGATTAAAAATAAACAAATAAATGAATGAAATAGGTAAGTAAAGGCAAAGTGGGACCAGGTTGTAAACTACGGGTACCTTTCTGATTTCTGTGTCATGTGCTATCCATCGAATGACTGCTTCAAAGACATATCTTTCATTGCCAACGTTTAACTTCTCAAGAGAAATCACTTCTTTAAGCTTTTGAGGACTCAGTTCTAGGAACTCTTCTGTGCTGCTGACGTCTCGGAAATGAGTCTCCAGGTATTCTGTGGCAAGGTAATGGACATGGTGCAGGCAGTAATGAAGGGCAAAGTCTCGGATCCCAATGCAGTTCTCAGCAGCAATACAGCCTTCTAGAAACTCACAGCACAGAGTCTTAAGATCCGTCAGCAGGAGCAGGTCTGCTGCCTGTACAACATCTTGGATTGTATCTTCATTTAGCCGGATCTGTAAGAGTTCATAAATATTTTATATTTGAACATATATATTTAAAACCCAAACCGCTAATCTATTAGGCTGAACCACATGAAAGCTCCATTGTTGTAGGTCAAAGATAAGCGAATACTGGAATTTCATGTGGTTCAACCTAGTACCTTTTTCAAGAAGAGTTTGAGGACACCAAGGAACCTTCGAACAACATGTGCTGTGTGTGGCTGGTTAATTTTTCCCAGCACTTCCCTGGCTTTACCAACATTAACTATCAATAACCCTTCCAAGGTGAACTGTTCATGTTGCTCACTTCCATATTTAATTTAGAGAAAAACCTCGAATGACTGAAATGCTTAGGAGATGGAAAGTTCTGCATTCTATGGTAAAGTGAACGTGATTTTTTGAAATACTAGCACCCAGAACTGTTGAAAGTCTTGCCTCCAAATACATTTAGTTCACTCTTTTGCCAAACAAAACAAACGGTATGCCAAACATACCATACAAGCCCCTTGAAGAGAGGGAGGTCTACACTGCCTGAGGAGCCTCATTCTGAATACCAAACATCATACTCGGGGCAATAGACACAATGTGGTCTCAAAGTTACCTTCTGGGATAAATCCCTAAGGTAAGATTTTTTTCATCATTATGAACATTTACTTTTCCTTAATTTTCTGATTGATGTTTCTTCCTCCACCCACTTCACAGTTTTTCTATGCAACAGTAAGGTGATGTAAAGAAACAGGCTTGTAAAACATTGCCACAGTCGTGAGCGGTCCAGACTCTCCCAAAGAATGGGTGCTTATCCTACATTCAGAAACGTGAAGGCGAGATTTCTGAGCAGAGTACAGCAAGAAACGTTTTACCACATTTTATACATTTTATACCACAAATATCAAAAAAATGTGTAATTGCCAATTACCTTAGAAACCGAGCAACAGAACTGTGGAAAGAGGTATGTTGAGTAAGCTACAAGTAAGGAGAAATTTCCCATTTACATGACTTATTAAATTCAGCCACACAGAGCGCACAGCTGTAGACTATTCAAATACAGGCATGTGAACAAACACTCAATTCCATCTCGATTAACTGCCAAAATCAGGAGTTTGTTATAACTTACATTGCAACTATGGTTTTTAAACCATAATTAATTTAAATTGGGAACAAAACATAGAAGTTGATCTGTAAATAAGGCTTACAAGTTTCACACCTCCAAGCCTGAACACGAATATGCTCTGATTGGCTCATAACTTGTTATAACTGCTGCTGAATCGATCTTAGACGTTAGATAAGGGGTTGGTTTTGAGCCTGGTTTTGTGATGCTACAGAGAATCTCCAGTATTTTAAGGGTGTCTCAAAATTCACTTAAATTCATGTTTTTAACAATCACACACATACACATAACCTTACATCCACACACTCACCACCTAGTGTTGAGAGAAAAGAGGAGATAACATCATGAAATTAAACCAAATGCTTCAAAAAAGGATGAAAATCACTGAGTTTGTGACTCTGGACAGAATGAATATATACAGAGAAAGTAAGCACTACTCTCAGAATACTCAGGAACCATGTAGGAGACACAGCCCTTACAAAAAGGAAAGGAAAGTAAGATGAAGAAGCAATAAAGGAGAGAGTAGGAATCAAAGTCTCAAAAAGAGCGAAGATAAAATGCATTCTCACATAACCAAACGTAAGAGACACTATCTTCTTCCTGTTAAAACAACCAGCCCTGGTTCACATCTAAGATTCTTCCTAAGAGTCCTCATGCTGCACTTTAAATCACATAACAGGGGCTGGGGCTGCAGGAGGGCAAAGAAGGAGAAAGAAGTCTAAGCACTTATCACCTTCTCCCTGGGTTTCATTAAATCCCCAGAAACGTAAGTGGGTATAGGGAGTAAAGAGAAATCAGAGAGACAGAATAGGGGTGGAACAGGGATGTTGCTCCCACTGAGCCACAGGACCAAGGCATCATGAACACAGTGCAGGTTCCTGTCATTTGTCTGAATCCGGAACTCTCTATTTCTACACAATAAGCCCCACTGCCCAAGGAAGCTCCCATTACAATGCGATGGAGACAGAACAAGTTCCCCAAGAGTGTGGGTTCAAAGCAAGACTGGAATTAAGATTGAAAAAACAAAAAGACAGCAGTGAAGGGAGCATCTCATGTTCTTCATCTCTCACGCTGGAAAGTGGAACTCAGAAGGGTAAAAACAGAAACTGGGCCTGGGTAGGCTCTTACTTAGTCTGCTTTTCTTTTCTCGGGTGCCAGTACCAGCAGGAGACACTAGTCAAGCACACAATGACAGAAGATGGAGATGACAGTGTTACTTGGTCAGAGACCAAGATGAGACCCTCATCCTGAGCTTGAGAAGCCTCTGCTTGGTCCTCCTTCCTGTGTGTCTCATCATACCTGCCCACTGAAGATGTAATCCAGGATCTCTCTCATAACCATTACCGATATCCCTTCAAGTTCAATCTTATAGGTTGATCCATCATCTTTTGGAGGATTATAGTATAACTTTGTCCTAAGAAAGGGAAAAAAATGTAAAATTTCTATGAAAGAACAGAAATAGCTATAAATATCTATGCACTAAATATTCTATAAAGTATATGACACTTAACAGTATATGAACCACACCTACAAAATTTAGTTTGTTGACTTCAGATCAATATATTCTTTATAACTTTCAACTACAAAACATTTGTTCCAGGATTCAAACAAACAAAACAGACAAAGAACTAAAATCCATGTAAGCAAGGAACTCTAATCCACCTTGGGAACCCAGCTCCTTTAGGCTTATTTTCTTCATGTATTTAATTATCTAATTATTTTCAATAATATAACAAGGACCCCACAAGCCTACCACCCAAAACAAAAAGCTAGGACCTTGACAATAACCTGCTTCTAACCAAAAGGTCCTCCCCACCAATTCATCCCTTTGCTTCCCCATCTGAAGTAACTATTATCCTAAATCCTATGTGCAATTTTCCCTTGCTTCTTTTTTTATTATTGTATCCATGAAATATATATATAATACGTAAAATATATAAATTTATTCATTGATAATAAATGTATTTTTAATTTTAAGTTGTTTTTAATTTTATAAAAGTATTTCATGCTGTCTGTAATCTTTTGGGGCTAACTTTTTTCATTTAATATTATATTGCTAAAAGTCATTCATATTGCTGCATATCACACTGGTTCTTTTCTTCTTTCTGTTGTATAATATTCCACTTTCCTGTTGACGTGCCTCTAGGCTGTTTCCAGGTTTTTGAAATTGTGAACAGTATTGCTATGACTATTCTCGTCTACGTCTCCTTTTGTAGTACATAAAAGAATTTCTCTTGGGTGTACCCCTGGGAGTGGAATTATGCTAAATTATTCTCCAGAGTAGTTGGAGCAGTCTACAGCCTCATCTGGTATGTGTAAGAGAATCTGTGGATCCACAAACCCTACAACATTTGAATCGGTCACACGTCCTACATTCTGCCAATTGAAGGAGTAAAATATGGTCTCTCGTTGTGGCTGTGATCTGCATTTCCCTCATCATTCAGGTGCTGAACATCTCTTCATATGTTTGTGGCCACATGTGTTTCCTCTTCTGTGAAAAACATGTTCAGTTCAAGTCTCTTGTTAATTTTTTTTATTAACTGTCCTCCTCATATTGAGGTGTAGGAGCTCTTTGTTATGTTTTTAGTATTAACCGTTTGGCAGACCTGGCACTTATTTTTAAGGTGATGAACAATTCGAAGAATAATTTTTCAGTCAATGCTTTTTTGTGTCTTGTTTAAGAACTGGTACCTTACTCAAGGTTTAAAAGATATTCCTAGTTTAGCAGTGAGGAAAGCTAAGACACAACCTAAATTGCACTTGAGCCCCGCCCCGACCCCCAAAGGCTCAGAATTAGTAGTATGAAGAAGCTATGGAAGAGGGGTGAAAGATGAGCTAAAAATAGAAGAACAGACTGACAAAGTCTTAAGAACCAGTTGAATTCCCAGATCCTTCCTCTGCATATATACACAACTGCCCTGCACAGCTAGTAAGGCTCCTCCCAGCTCCAGTAGAAGACAAGTGATTTATATTCTGAAGAGTACAAAACTGAGAGTGGGTCTCTGGAAAGGGGATATCAGGCACCGTGAGGGCAGGTGCACTGTACCAAAATCGGAGAGAGTTAAGAGAGTGTTTCCCTACTGAATGCTGAGACCATCAGTCTTTTTTCTCAATTCTGCTCCTAAAATGCTGAAAGTCAGACACATATCCTGTAGACAAGAAACTGCAAGACTCTTCTGGAGGGTTTGATCAGCCCAAAAGGAAATATCTAAAGATATGGACATAGATCTGCCCCAAGAAAATGACTGAGTTTGATCATGCAACAGTGAAACCCACAGTCAAGAAGCCTAACCTACTGCTCCGAGCTTTCAATACATTTTGGAGCAGCACTTCTAATACTTCTTCATGTCACAGCACACATAGTAAATGTCATATTACTCTGGGGAAAACAGATGAGGCTGTGTGTAGGCCAGAGGTGAACAGGGTGCCCCAGCCTCCCCAGATCCTTCCCAGCCACTCTGAGGGCTGACACCATCGTTATCTTCACACACCTGAAACACTTTTTGTACACTGGTTAAGAAATTCTGCTTTAGAGCCCCACTCTTAAAATTGAGCAAAGAGGACTCAACAGACGTCTGAGAAAGAAGAATGACAGAAACCAAAACTAACAGAAAAAAGGCAACTTGGAGGAAGTAAAGAATATGCAAGATGAAAAGTTCAAGAAAAAAAGAAAACCTCTCATTAACATTCCCAGAGAGAAAAGAGAGGATATTGTGCTCATGAAACAAGAATAGGATGCTATAAAAGGGAATATTCAGAGAACAACAAAAAAATTTTAATGACTGAAAAAAAATTTTTTTATGTAAAGTCAAAATAAAAATTGAAGAACTGTCCCAGAAGACAGCAGAAAGACAAAGGTAGAAAATAGGCAAGATAAGTTAAGAAAATTGGAAGATCAGTCCAGAAGACTGAACACCTGAAAAATAGGAATGCTCCTACAAAAAAGAGAATACTACCAAGACGTACTCATAACAATTGATGAAAATAGCCCCTTTCCAAGGCATATCACTATAATACTTCAGAATACTGGAAACAGAAAACATTCTTATAAGCTTCCACAAAGAAAAACAGGTGACACAGGAGGGAAGAGGAATCAGAATGGCTTCATCTTCTAAATGGGAAGTTAAATAGCAATGGGGAAATGACTTCAAAATTCTGAAGAAAAATTATTTCCAACCTAGATTTTTATAACCTGCCAAACTACCAATCAAATGTCAGGACAGCACAGACGTTTTCAGTTATACATGGTCTGAAAACAATGCATCTCCCATCTTTCTTAGAATGCTGTTGGAAAACGTGCCCCAACAAACAAGGGAGTACATCATGAAAGAGACGACTCTGCATACTAAAAAGACATGCTCCCACACAGGAAAGAAGTGAAGTGGATGCAGGGAACGGTGAAGGACGATCCTAGGATAACAGCTATGTACCAGGAGAAGGAAGCCAGTCCTTTCTGGTCCAGGAGGAGGGCTTGGGAGACGTTTAAGAATATGAAATTGGTGGAATATATAACATATCTGAAGGCATAAAGAAGATATTTAGACAATTTTGTTTCCTCCCTATATTTCATATCTGCTTTTCCTGCCTCTATAGTTTCTACTGAACTAGTAGTCTGACTCAAAAGGTATTTCATTTCTGCTTGCTGCACTCTAGGTTTATCTATATGCCTGCTACTTTTCTTAAAAGAAAAAAATTTCAGTCAACTCTCAACCAAGAGAGAAAAATAGTATAAGTGGTAATAATAATACCCAAATCATTAATATTTGGCTCTGAAATGCATCATATACTCTTTTTTGGCAGTGGACATGTCTTCCAGTAATGTTTCACTTAGGATGTTATGACTACTTGTATTTTTTAATCACTGTGCTGGTTATCAACGTAGTGACCCTCCAGATCCAAGATCACCCTTTTTGTATGCTCTGTGAAAATGGATCTGAGTCTTTTAAACAATTTTCCTTCGCCAACTGGCAAGATGTCAAGCTTTTCAGTAGAGAGTGCTGGAAAGACAGTGCAGGAGGCAAGAGTTTTGTTCCTGCTCCTGGTATATCAGTTTGTTAGGCTCCTACGACGCAGCCTGCTTTTCAGCATCAAGCTCCTGCAGTGCACGGCTGCCAGCAGCACCGGGCAGTTTTCCCTGGAACCTCTTTCAGGCAGTTTTGTAGTAGAGTGTTTTTGGTGAGACACCTCCCCACAGACAGCTTTCCTAAGCACTTCAGAGGACAGATTTCTGGCAAATTTCAGAGGGCCAATTTCAAGCAAGCTCCACCAGTGTGGCTTCTCTGCCATGCAGTGAGCCGTGGCTGCTCTGTCCAAGAAAGCCTGGATCTCAGCCCTGGAGGTGGTGACTGCTCTTCTATCAGCTATTCCTGTATTTTTTAGAGTTTTTGTTACTTCTTACCAGCCAGTCCCTCATTACAATCTCCTGTTGTAGTCAATTCTTTATATTGAACTTTCCTTGTTCAAATTACTGTGTGGTTTCTTTCTCCTGACTAGACCCAGACTGAGTTGCTAACCTATTTAAAGGTGGAAGCTCCAAAACATGTTTAGACAGAGGAGCCTCAACCTAGAATTAGAGTTGTTCTTATTTTCAAGTAATCCATGTTCAAACAAGAGCTGGCTGTGCCTGTGTGTGAGCTGTGCACAGCGGCGGGAGGAGGACTGGGCTGATGGGGAAAGAGGTTACCAGGAGACCTTCCACTGTTGCGCCTTTTTATTTTTCAACCATGTGACTGGATTCCTTTTTTTTTTTTTTTTTTTTAAGATGACTACACTGTCATATATTTTCACAATGAAAAAAACATCCCTTTTAAAGAGTTTTCTTTCAGCAGGTGGCAGCGTACAGACAATGGCTAAGAGGACAGAAAAAAAGACTCCTTTAAACATGAGCATTGACCATTTCAGACTTCTATAAAAGTGATCCTTTTCAAAGCCCGTGAACAATGAATCATTGTACTGTCAAAGTCTCTAAACATCTGAAGGTTAAATTACAAAACTTTATTTTAATTATGGTTTGATTTCAGATCCTTACACCTGCCCCCAAACTTTCCCGTCCTCCTGTCCCCCTCTGATCTCTTCCTAAGACCATTTGTGCACATTCAATTCCTGCTCATCTTCTAAAGACTAGTCTAAATGCCAGTGCCACAAAACATCTTTCTATATCTCTCCATCCTGCCCCAGGCTGCAACTCCACCCTCACGTCCATGCAGGTAAAAATAATTCCTCCTGCTATCAATTTCCCCAGCACCTGATATTAATATTACAGGTTCATCAAGGTCTGCTTTTTATTGTGGAATTTACATATTCCATTTTACTAATCTAAGTTCCTTGAGGCCAGAGTTCTCTTTATCATTGTAACCCTACAATCTAGCCTGGCAGTTTACAAAGAATAGATGTTCAATAATTATTTGTAAAATC